GATTTGAATAACTGGTGTAGACAGTGCTCGTATCAAACACGTAATAGAAATATAAGTTATTAATACTTTGTAGATGTTCTTTACTGTTTTCGCAAGCAGACAACTTCTATGCACTCATAAGTACACTTCCCATCGTTACCAGTCACTTGTTTCTCTTAACATCAATGCAGCTGTTGAGGAAAAACAGAATGATATCTCACTATCCCACTTACAGGAGCACATCTTTCAACAGGAGTTATGTAGGCATTTTCCCTCTGTTAGTCAGGCGGACTTGCAAGCATCATTCTCACCAAGTTAGGGTGGTTCGGATTAACTAGACAAGCTCGTAAAATTCCAGTCAATGGAACTGACCCCCTAAATATTCACAAGATGACAAATAGCAGAGGAAATCAACACGTAATACGACTACTATTGGGTACCAAAAGTGTTCATGAATGCCCTGTGTCTTCTACTAAGTGTTCCGCTTACACACTAACAATTAAACGGTTTTTGTCTGATTTGAACGGATCTCAGCTATCGAAATGCTTCTGGATACGAACCAGTCCCCTGCTTTAACTGTTTTCAACTTTCAATGAAGATTCGGTAGATCATGTCATGACTGCTTTTGTCCGCACTCAGTTCTCTCCACCCCTTTGCATCTACACTTTATTACTGAGAAGCTAAACCCCCAATCATAAAAGGCTGAAGGAGACAACACATCCAATCTTGATATGATCACCTAGAAACTCTTAATATCTTTTTATATGACAGAAGGCATATAATAATAGTATGTGAGTATATGATTCGCGGGTAGAATACTCCCCCACCACGCACTTAGTCGAGGGTGCGACTCCTGGCCTCGCTTGCCGGAAGTAACTCTGATGAAGAGGGAAGGTTGGGCTGAGGGCCAGTGACTCGATCCCGTCCTTGAAGCTCAATGTCCCACTAGGAATGCAAAGTAATAAGATGTTAACAAACGATAACTATGGAGGTGAAATTTCTTCACTGAGTGATGATTTGTTTCAAAATTCCTAAGCTGATACACGGTGATGATTAGATTCAAGTTTTTGCTTGGGAAAGAGGACTTCAGGACCGTACAACTTTCATGATAAAAACATGTACTTGTCCGATTCGTATTTATGAAGTGTTACTTGGGGACGCAAACATTACTCCTTCTGGGAGTCGGTTCAAAAACTTAGCGAGAACAAGTATCCGATAGAGTTACAGTTTTTCTTTGGCCTCTGTGGTTTTCTGATATGCCCTCCGAGCCGCTCCGCCCTGGCAGAATGGAAAAGAGAGGATCGGCTAGTTCCATAGTCATTACTAAGGACCTCGAACAATGTCATGAGATCTCTTCTCCGACAACGATATGATGGTATGAAGAAATTAAAACCATGAAGTCTTTCCTCGTGCAGTAAACTGGTCATACTGGGAATCACATGTGTGGTCTTTCTTCGAACTCTTTCTAGAGTATATGGGCCCCCCTTAGACAGGAGCTGGATGGCCGGATGCAAGCTTCTTGTTTTGATCTCATCAGGAACACATACAAAGTTTTTCACATTTAAGTGGTGACTGTGGTAAAAAGCCTGAGCATTGCCCACAAGATGGAACTGAGGTATACATAACTTAGAGCTGTGCAGAAAGGCAGGTTTGGGTTTAACGTGACTCTGTCTGCCACCAACGAGGAATTCCTTGGTCAGGCTGCCCCCGACTCCATAAATTTCCAGTTTCATGAAGCACCGATCTGACGAATTTCTGAAATTTGCAAAAACAACGTCAATGCTTCCTTGTTATCATTTCAGTTGGCTTATGCTGCTGACACATGCAGCTCTATAGTGATGACCATAAGAGCAATGTAGATTCAAAGATGTGAGAGGGATAACCCAATGATCTTAACATTTAATTGACTTGCTGTTCATGAATTCTTGGGAGTGGAAATGAATTTGACCTGTAAAAATAGTTTACTCTTTCACTATTAGGTACAACTTAGCAAGACCGTATTTGCGTTATCTGTTAGAATAACATGGCACATAGCATTGAACATAATTAGAAACTGCTTCACTCCCATATGCATTTTCACATGATCATTCTGATCTGATACCTAGAATCAATATTCTGTGTTGAGTCAATTAATTCATCAGTTTTGGGATAGGATATTACTATCCTTTAGGACTATTTTGTGCATCAATTTTTCGAGGGACAGTAAGGACTTCCTCAATAGTTTTGAATAATCGGAAAATGGTTGACACAGGTTCACACTGACTGCATTTATTATTATTATTATTGTATCCTTTAATTCCTAGAGGAACATAGGGCTTCAGCCGTGCGTCTCCATTGCGTTCGGTTCTCTGCTAGAGTCTTCACCTGGCTCCATATCTGCCCACACGTTTTCATCTCCTCTTCACATGACCTCCTCCAAGTCACCCTCGCACTGACGACCAACTCGCCGCTTCCCTTTCGGGTTCCACTCGAGCGATGGCTTGTCTAGTGATGTCACTTGATGGTTTCCTCAGAGTACGGCCAATCCATCTCCATTTCTTCCTGCCTATTTGTTTCACAATCGGTTCCTGGTTGGTTCGCTCATTGCCAGAGATCTCTGTTGCTGATCTTTTCTGGTCTGCCATCTGATCTTGAGTATTGAGCGAAGACAACTGTTAATGAAGGTCTGTAGTTTGTTTGAGATTCTCAGTGCAAGTCTCTGATCCGTATAGCGAGTAGCACTGACTTCACATTGGAGTTGAAAATCCGGATCTTATTTTTGATGCTGAGTGCTGTTGACCTCCACACAGACTTGAGAGTAGTGAAAGCTTGTCTTGCTTTTCCGATCCTTGCTTTGATATCCTCGTCAGTTCCGTTCTCCTGTAGTTGAAACGATGCTTTCCAGGTAGGTAAAAGAGGTTGTTTCTTTCAGATTCCTCCCATTTATGCTGATTGTTGTCCGTTGTTGTTGTTGCTGTTGGTGGTGTTGCCCAGGAATCTTCATCACCTCTGTTTTCTCTATGTTCACCTGAAGTCCTATCTTTGATGCTTCTTCTGCTAACTTGTTGCTTTTCGCTTGCATATCTTCCAGTTTGTGGGAAATCAGACATATATCATCGGCGAAGTCCAGATCCTCCAAGTTTTTTTGTGTGAGTCCATTTTATGCCTGTTTCCTCATTGCCCACTGTTTGTCGCATTATCCAGTCTACTGCAATCAAGAAAATCATTGGCGATAGCAGACAGCCAGCTTGTCTTACTCCTGTCCTCACTTCGAAGGATTCCGTAAGTTTCCCGTTGTGGATTACTTGGCATGCAGCATTGTCGTATAGCTGTTGGATGAGATGTATAATTTTCGGCGGCACCCCGTAGTAGCGAAGTAGTTGCCAAATCACCTCTCGATCGACGCTGTCGAAGGCCTTTTCAAAGTCGATGAAGTTGAGATAGAGAGGTGACTGCCATTCCAAGCTTTGTTCAATGATGATCCGTAATGTAGCGATCTGATCAATGCATGACTTGTTTCTCCTGAATCCAGCCTGTTCCGGTCGAAGTTTTTCATCCAGGGCATGTTTGATTCTCTCCAGGATGATGCGGCTTAGTATTTTGCTTGGGATGGACAGGAGCATAATTCCGCGCCAGTTCTTGCATTGACTTAAGTCTCCTTTCTTTGGTAGTTTGAATAAGTATCCTTTCTTCCAATCCTCGGGTACTTTGCCTTCTTTCCACACCTTCTCCAGTAGTGGCATCATCAAGTCCGCTGTTGTCTCTGGGTCCGTTTTCAATGCTTCTGCTGGGATTCCATCTGGTCCTGCTGCTTTTCCAGCTTTCAGCATCTTGATTGCCTTCAGGACTTCTGATTTCGTCGGGGGGTTGGTGTTCACTGGTAGCTCTGTCTCCGTTGTTGGTATTGCTGGGCGCGTTGTAGGTGGTGGTAGATTTAGGAGTCTTTTGAAGTGCTCAGCCCAGTGTTTCCTTTGCTCCACTTCTTTGGTGAGTGGCTTTCCATTGTCATCTTTCACTGGCTTGATTTGTGTCAAACTTTCGCCCGATAGGTACCTAGTAGTTTCGTAGAGTGTTACGAGGTCTCCTTTGCCTGCACTGCAGCTTGTTCTGCTTCACTTACCATGGTTTCATAACACTTTCTGTTGTCTTCCTTGGCACTCTTTTTTACTCTTTTGTTCAGTGTCTTGTAGCTTGCATTCAAATCCTGTTTCTGTTGCTCGTCGATGCACTGGTGAATCTTTTGTTTCACCATCCTTCTCCCTTCTGTCAGTCCCCAAGTGTCCGTAGTGAGCCACTGTTCGTCCCGTCTCTTCTTTCTGCCTAGAACTGCCATGCAGGTTTGACTCCACACTGTTCTCAAGTTGTTCCAGTGCTTTTCGACGCTGACCTCTTCGCCAGTGTTGATTTGTGTCTCGGGTTTGTCTTTTATACTTGCAGTGAAGATGTCCTTTGTTTCCTGGTCCTTCAGTTTTTTAGTTTTGAACTTGGCTTGTGGTCTATCTGCAGCTCCTGTTTCTCTGAAAGCTTTTAATTTGATTTGGATTGTCCCTTGTACGAGATAGTGGTCTGAGCCAATGTCTGCTCCTCTTCTTACTTTTGTGTCCAGCAGGCTGCGCCTCCACTTCCTTGATTGCATTGAGCAGCACCACATTTGCAGAACTCAGTTATCTTCTACTTCGGCCTATCTGATATCAACCACTTGAAAGTTGATCTTTGGAAAGTTATTAAAACAAAGCGTGACCTCATGAGCTCATTTTGAAATAGGATGTAGCACAAGGACGTAAGTGCGACAGATGACCTTGGGATGCTAAATTAGTGGTATGTCTAATAGTAGGAGTTTGTTTCATAATAAAATACCACTCCAGATAAATTTGACTAGAAATTTTAACAAATATAGTTACCGTAAAAGCGAATTTTACAAAAGTACGTGAGTACTTAAAAATTGTAAGTTCTGGTGATATAAGTCTGGTAAGTTCTAACTCCGAGTGCAGAATAATGTCTGTCGGTTATTTCTCTTAGTATTGTGCTAGTACGATTAACCCATGGGTCATCCTGAGACTACCTCCCTAAACTTAGTGGGTGTATATAATAAATTCAATGGATGTGCAAACGGTGACGATGTCTTGTTGTTAGAGTATTGCGAGGCATACTCAGAAGTTGCTAAGTAAGCTAGATTGTGTCTTTTACTCCCTTAGACTTCTTGTGTACTTTGGAAATCTTTTTTACTTTGTAAGTAGTGATGTAAACCACAAAATATCTGACATTCGTGCATTACATGTGGCTGATAAGAAGAACTACGGTTCAGTTAAACAAATGGTTGACTATGAGAAGAAACATCACGATCCTATAAAAAAGAAAAAATGTTATGGTTGTCGCACGCTTCTCCGGCTACACCGAGCCCTCCTCTTTGTGATTGAGTTGATGCAGGAAGTGTGTACAGGTAAGCGATTGTTATTTTGCTATATTGTTTTTATGCACGTATTTTGCTCTGTAACTACTGTGAGCCCACTCTAATTTTACAGTATTATTAGTGACTGTAGTACCAATGTGGAGCACTAATTTAGACTGGATAATATCCAGATATTGTTTGACCAAATAACACCTATGTTGAGTCAGTTCCCAGAGTATTCTTATATAAGTGCCATCTCATGTGCAGTATTGTAATGTTACCACTATACTTTACATCGTTGTGCATCTGACTGATACATGTATATATATATATATATATATATAAAGCTATTATTATATAGTGGTCCTAAAATATTTGTAAACTAAGACACTTTAGGAGTATGTAATTACATACTAATTTACCATTTGGGTGCTATGCCTAGAATTAACATTCCATGTAGGACCACTGAGGCCGTCAGGCTTTGGGCCAGATAGTACTATTTCGGAGGTTTACTTCAAGTGAATAGATGACGTTTCGATCAGTTTGTTTTTGATTGTCATATCGATTGAAATACTAGCTGAAATACGTTTATTTACATTTAGTTTGAAGAGTCACTAACAACCAAACTGGTGTATCGACTTAAAAAGTTATACAAACGTGTGGCAGTTCAAGTTGCCGCATTTCCGAGAAACAGCGGTTGGGAAAATATGACGCAACCACCATGAACAGATTCAGATTTGTTGATTGAAGATAGAAGGATTAAAGCCTATCTTGATCCTTTCTTAATAGATTTCTGTGCTTCTCCAAACCATTCCAATATCCGATCCAATATCGTTTTTACGAGCTAGTATAAACTAGTTTGATTTCTTTGTGCTCGCCTCTTGATTGTGAGGTATAGCTTCTTGATCTTCGGTAAACTTTTTCGTAGCTCGTCCCGCCACTCGACTGTCGTAGCTTCGGTTGACTCCAAAAGGAGTAGTGCTGGGATTAATTATATGTGGTTTGTAGTATGAGGTGTGTTAAGACTGTTACTACTGTGAATGGAGTTGATCCTTTCACTAGTTAGTCCTCCGGTATCGTCGTCAAAAGAAAGATCATAATAATAATAGACATAATTAGTGAAGTTACTCAGACTAACAGACAGAAAAAGAATAAGAAAACGTAACAACAGTCAGCTGACTAAATTTGAAAAATTATATATATATATATATATCGGTAATAATGATAATAATAATAATAATAATAATAAAATAATAATAGGTGTAGTTAAGGTTGTCAGAAGAGTAAGACGGAAGAGAATGTAAAGAAGTAAAACGACAAGTTTAATTGTCTACTCCTGAATGGTGTATGCGATTTTAAGGAGATAGGCCACTTGGATGCAGTCCTTGTGTCGCTGTATGGTTGTCCAGCCTTCGCTTAAAGGCGTTCACAGATGGTGCCATAGCTACATCTGCTGGTAAGGAATTCCAGGGACGGCAAACCCTCAGTGAAAAGAAGTGAGAGCTCACCCGGGTCCTTGCCCTCTGGTGAGCTATCCTTCTGGGATTTCCACGGGGAGCCTATGCCTACTCAATGGCAGAACACCTTTGTTTGGGTGATTGTAGGCAGTGATTAAATCCCCCCTAAGCCGACGGTAGCTAAGTGTGAATAGGCCTAATTTCCTTAGCTGTTCATCATGCGATTTATTTCAGAGACCAACCACTCCTTTTGTTGCCCGTCTTTGGACTCTTTCCAAGAGGTTCGCGTCTCTTCTAAGCAGTGGTGGGGCAATAATCTTATGCACTTCCAGGTGTGGTCTGACGTATGTTTTGTACAACCGTAGAAAGAGCTCAGGAATGAGTGCACCTAACTGTCTGTGTGTAAAGTGTATGACCGCATATGCCTTCGCTACGTTTCCCGTGTAATTTACGCTTGTGTCCAATTTTTCCGCTAGAACTAGACCTAAGTCGCGCTCCGACGTTAAACTGGACAAGCTTTTGTTGCATAGGGTGTAACTTGCATTCAGCGTCCTACAGGTGCGTAATTTCACCGCTTTGCACTTTCTCAGATTGAAAAACATGCCATTGACCACCGCCCAGTCTTGCAGAAGCTTTAGATGTGCCTGCAGCCCATTAAGTTTGTTACACAGGACTTGCCTTTCCTGAAACCGTGTTGGGCTTCATGTAGTTTATTAGACCTATCGAGATATTCCCTGATGTGATCGTCAATAATGCTTTCCAGTACTTTTGATACCACTGGGAGTAGAGTTACTGGTCTATAACTAATGGCATTTTGCCTATCCCCACCCTTAAAGATCAGAGAAAGGATGGCTCTTTTCCACTCCCTTGGCAGTTTCCGCGATTACATTAACTGTTTGAACAAGTCGCACAGGGGCCTACAGAGAGCTTCGGCGCACTGTTACAGAACAGATGGCCTGATGTCATCACAACCTGGGGACTTCCCAGGTGTGAGTCGCTGTAGCTTCCTTAGTACTATTGCGGGGTTTATTTGGGGAGTAGCCACTAAGTCTTCCTCCTGTGAAATAGTAGTGCCACCATTTTGGTCCGTAACGGTAATACCCACATTGCTGTTTAGCTGTTTGGCGAAGGCTAAACTGAATGTTTCAGCCATCTCCAGACTAGTGAGACATTGACCGTTCGGGCCTACTAAGGCGCATGCCCCCTGGTTGGTTGGTTTTCTTTCCGACATGAATCGGTACAAGTTTTTGGGGTTTGCTAGGAGTTTTTAGCAAGGTTAGCCTGGAATGACATCCTGTCCCTCCTGACTCTTGTATTGCACCGGTTCCTGAGTGCCAGGTATGCGTCGTGGTCGATCTGACTCTTAGATACGCGCCAAGTAAACCAAGCCTTCCGCTTTGCTTGCAGAAAACGTTGCGTGCCTCTTTAACCATGATGACTTTCTTTTGGGCTGTGTTGTGACTAAAGGGACGGTATCCGAGATTACTGTGTGAATTATCTTTTTTACCACCTCCCAGTGTTTATCCACAAATAGTTCATCCCATTCTAAAGGCCAGTCTGCGTCGGACAAGAGCCTCCACATTTCAGCATAGTCAGCCGTGCTGTAACACAGACATAGTCGCGTAACGTCCCACTGCAAATGCTCACGGAGAACGTGATCGAAACCTATGACTGCGTGGTCACTACTTCCTAGAGGAGTCATGATCTGGACTAGTTAGAATGTAGTCTATTTTTGATGACGTTAAAGAGGATAAGAGGATTAGACCGACTTACCTCAGACTTAGGTTTGGCCTTTGGCTTCTTGTATTACTTTGCAACGTCAGCAACTTTAGGCTTCATCAGGTTCTGACCAGCCTTTGTTGTGTTGCCAAGCTTGCTAGTGGATGCAAGTGGTGCTTTTCTAATTCTATCTTCCCCTGATGTGGGTGCAACCTTGGGAATCTTAACCTTGTGAAAATTGGCATTTTAAGTCAGTAGGACTGGAGTGTCCTTCCTACTGTCTGTGCCAAGTTTTGGCAGTGTGGTGTTAGCAGGTGGGGAGCTGCATAAGACTGTGTTGGGACACAAGAGCGGCGTATTGTTTCTGCTATCCACAGACACGCTATGTGGGACTATGCCAGGGGGCCAAATTTGACAGATGTACCAAAACCACGGGCATGGGTTATTTCTCATAAACTCGTAGTATGATTAGTCACAACGGCAGTGCACCCATCGTTTGCAAAAATTGCATTCAAACGCTGAGTCAGTTTTAGAAACTATGATACTACACGCCTGACATTCGTCTCCCTTCCTTGATGACGCCTTCGAGGTTTTATGACGTCTTGAACGTTCCCTTTTAGGTTTGCTGTGTTTCACACACTGGCTTTCAGTTGATGCAGGTGTAGTATCCTGTCCTCCTGGTATTACCTGTGCCGTTTCAGTACTAGACTGCGGCAACGCAGGCGTAGTATCAGTACAGACGAGACCTACATGAGTCTTCAGGATCGGTATGCGGGAAGGGGTTGATGTCCCTGGGTTTTTGCCTTCTCTGGCTGAAGCCCTTGTGACTACAGAGTATGGCGTTTTAGTGCCTTTTCTAAGGCTACTTTCGACAGCCATATTAACAATCACTGTGACTTATGCTATATAGGAATAAGAGTGCAACAGTATCTACCCACAAGAACAAGAATAAGACTGAAAAAGTACAAGATAAGGAAAAGAAAAGATTTTTGACTTTACCCAGTACTTTCTGGATGATCGGCTTCACAACAATCACGTGGTAGACCAACAAGTCATTTTATCTGAACGAGTGAGGATGATGCTGCTACAGAAGTGGCACCTGAAGCTTTGGCAATAGTTCGAGACAGCTGGACTTACCACACAGAGATTCAATATGTAAGTAATGGTTGAATTTAATTCACCGGCTAGGGGGATTAGGCTTCCCAAGCGGATAATTCACAAAATAAGTATTTTCCGGTTAGAGAGGAAAAGGCACGTCGTATTCTTGAATGAATCAGTTGAGAGCACTGACACCACTTCTTCTAGAGTTGCTTCTAGGAGTTGATGACTTGATGTGAGAACCTGTACTCCGCAGCAATATAGTTTCTCCTTGGCTTTTGAACTCTGCCATGCCCTATAAGGTTTTCCTACCTGGTAGGGAGGAAGACAAAAAAATCAGATCCGTAGTCAGTATTTATAATTTTAAACATTGTAATGAGACCTCTCTACCTACAGTATAACAGGGAAGAGATTTAAACTATTTAGTCTTCCCTCATATAATAAAATAGTCATGCCAAGAATCACATGGGTTGCCTTCGTTTGAACCCTCTCTTGTATATAAGTCCCATTTAAGACAAGGGCTGGCTGCCTCCATACGGTTTTCCAGTCTTGACCTCACCAGTGTATATAAAGAGATGAACACATCTTTGGTGATTCTAATAAAGCCTCTGTGAATCGCTCATAAAGATCTGAAACTACGTGCTGCCACCGCGTGACGGTACTGTAGTTGTGATTTCCTAACACCTAGATCCAAATGAGTCTGAAGAGATGGGAATGTTGTTCTCTCCATTTCGTAGGAGCTGACGCTTGCGTGTCCGATGCACATGGTTGCGCATTTTGCTATTAGATCGAGAGCATCCATTCTTTGAACCACTGTAATAATTTGTTGAGGTCTTCTTGCAACGTACCACTATTGCCATTCAACCCTCTCCAAGTTTTATACTTATAGGACCATAGTGGAAACGGTGAGCTTAGATAACTCATTAATATACAAAATAAATCAGAGAGTCCGAGTACGGTGCCTTGTGATACTCCACTACGTACTATCATCCAGGAGGAGAGTTTTGATTTGGTCCTGACTCTGTCTCCTACCTATGAGAAATTCCCTGATCCAGTTTAGAAAACCACCATTGATTCTAAGAGTTTCCGATTTCGTGAGCAGTCTTTTGTGAGGCACTTTGTCGAATGCTTTACTGAAGCACATGAAGAAAACCTCGACGAGTCTCCTATTGCTCCTTGAAATGACCCAGCTTTGTTTTGCCGTAAGAAGGTTTTACAGGTGTAAGATGTTTCCTCGGAAGCCATGTTGTGCTCTGAACAACAAGTTGTTGTTTCCTAGATATGCTATGATAACTTTCTTGATGATTCTTTCCAGTATCTTGACTAAGGTGCTGTAGTTTAAAGGACAGTCTTTAGATCCGCTCTTGTAGGTGATGGTTACTATGGAGTCTTTCTAGTCACGCGGTAACACCCAGTTGAGGAGAGATAGCTTGAAGATCGTAATCAGTGGGCCGACTATATGAGCTAATAGCTCCTTGAGAAGCATTGGTTGAAGGTTATCAGACCCCACTGATTCCCCTGCATCTAGTTTATTTAGAGAATTGAACACGGTGTCTTGGTCGACATTGACTGCGTCTATCCTGTATTCGTCTGATGCGGTCAAAGCTGATCCTATGGGGAGCGATGACTTACGTAAACACTATGGAGAAGTAGTCTGTCATTGCCTCTAATTTCTCCTGGTCCGCTTTGATCGTGTCGTCAGTAGTCAAGTTTGGTACCCCATTGGATGTCTTAACCCTCAAATTCATGTATAGAGAATTTTCTAAAGTTGTGCCGTTGCATTTTGAGCCAAATGCATTTCGAACTTCATCCATAATTGGCGGATTTCCCGCAATAGCTTTCTTCACAGAGTTGGCGTATACCTTTCTGGTCTCAGAAGTCTCAAGTGTGATAAACAGGTTCTAGCACTTGTGCTTTCCCCTGAGTAAACTACGAGTCTCTCGGTTTATCCATGGGGGAAAGTGTTTTCGACCCTTTGGGGGCAGACCAAGGGATGAGAGGTTCGGTTACCTGAGCGTAAAGTTGCTTAGATTGGTTTCATGCAGCCTCTACGTGACACTCTGGTTTTATGTACCACTTCAGCGATTTGGCTGCTAAGACGATGGCACTTATATCAGCTTTACAAACGTTTGGTCGAGCTGTCGTGAACTTGAAAGTCAGCAAAGTATGATTACTTCTTCCTAAGGGAGGAAGGTGTATGAGGCTCACATCTTCACCATGAGACAAAACGAAGTCCAAGGTTGAAGAGGTGATGTAATTCATGGAGTGTGCGCTTCGTGACATGCTGGACTAGTGCTAGCAAAATACTAGATTCCAACAGTTTATAGTCAATAGAGTTGTCTGAAGATGGCGTCGCAAGGCTCGTCCAGTCATCTGTCAGGGCCTTGAAGTCGTTGACTACGAGACTCCGACATTTAGATGTCCATGCGCCTGGCTTCTGTATTAGGAAGTTGTCTGCACTGCAGTTGGGACTGCGGTATATAGCAATACAGTCAATATCTTAGCCTATGCATTTAAGTCTGCAGCGTAGACGTTCGCATATTCCGCTTTTGTGTGCGATAGCTTCAATGCTGCTCACGGTTAGGCACTTTTTGAGACGGATGAATACACCACCTTTTTCGCGGATTAGTCGGTCCACTACATATACCGTAAAGTTTGGTAGGTTAACTTCGTTATTAGTGACATCGGACGTGAGCCATGTCTCTGTAATGTTAACTACCATATTACCCAGCGGAAATGCACCGAACGAAGAATAATTAAGTGAACATGTGTGAGAATTTTCAGAATCTAAATGCTTGGCTGTACTACATAGATTAATGACATGTTTCCGTCTAATCACTCCTAGATCTCCAATTTAATCCTATGTCAGTTAACTTTACTGGTCAAAGAGATAGGTAATAGCACGCGTAACACATACTCTAGTCATCCCAATAGATATGGCCTCACAATCTCATTGACTGATTTTCCCTCGTTGCCTAATACTCTACGCTTAACCTTATTGTTATAATCTTATTCCCCTTATAGTCGAAAACCGCCCATGTTTTCATGTTTCACCTTTAATGATCATGTCTAAAAGTTGTAAAATAGGATGGAGCAAACTGATGTATGATACACACGTCACAGCTACTTGTTTTCTATGTTAGTCTACTTTGGGCATCACGTTCACTTAATGGTGCATGTTTGTAATCCACACCGATTTTTGATCATGGTTAGCAATTTTCTCTGATCCTTGTCATTGTCAACTGTTAGGTAGATGGTCTATTGTGTCCATCGATAGCTCGATGTCGGTAATTGCCATCTGCCATGAGCTGATAATAATAAGAATGCTGTCATGACGGTGGTGTCCTTACATTAAATTACAGCTGTTGTCATGGTAATAGTCGGAGTTCGACTCCGGCAAACCGAAAACCCTGGTCACCTTTTACAGTTCTACTCAGATAATCACCTGTTCCTCATCAGCGCTAAATCCAAACATGACGACAGACACTGTCTAACCTAGCGACCGTCACTAAATCAATGATAGACTCAAATAGACTACATAGCGCAAAGCTATGGATGGAGAAGGTCGATTGAAGACTTCTGCTCCTTCTGTAACACCTGTGGCGACTCCGATCACACTCTAATCCGTGCACATATATGTCTATAACTAGGCAGATATAGGAAACAGACCACGATGATATTCATACGCCTCCTACTTCTTGATTAAATGGTCCTTATTTAGAGGAGAAATAACTAGACACATTTGTACGGCAGAGCAAAGTTTAATCTCATTCAGCGAAAATGTACCAACTCATCACTTTCTCCAGATCGTCCACGAAATAGTTTCGCATGGAATAACTTTAAGCAAACAAATATTATCTAAATGGTGTCTAATTTTTTTCTCGGTAGTGGCTCTTCTCCCTTGTACGGCATGTTTAGATATTGAGTGACTAAAACGCATCTCACCCGATGTTGTGGAGATAAGTGTTTTTTTTTTCTGCGTGGTCTTCGTCATCACAACATGGTAGTTAATAAAATATGCCCTTTATCTGTCAGTAATTAAGCAGAATAATAAGGTTGCTAACTAAAGAATTTTTTTGCATGAGAGGTCTTTAAACGTCTATACTAGTGATGTTTTCGTTTCTGTAGGATTTGTTATTGCATACGTTACTCCTGAGGTGAATCGTGTACTGATATCCTGGTATTAGACGCACATCTTGGTGATACTGGGAAACACGGGGGATATTTTCAAATAAAGGTGGATAGAGAAATAATGTGAACTGGTTGAATTCGTTAGCCAACCGATATATGAAACCCGAGTGAAAAATAAACAAACGAACTAGATAAAAACTGAATCCTTTTGGTAGTTGAAAATACACTGCAATTTTATAAATAAATTTTTTTCTGGCTGCAATCAGCTTTCATTCTGTTTTTGATTACAGTGATGAGTGAGTGTAATGATTTAGTTCACTGAGATACTGAATATTCATCTGTTTCGATGAAATGATTGTACTGTGGAGTCGTTGGGTATAGGGAAGGGGTCGTATGTGAATTGAAGATCCTGTTTAAGCTAAAAAATAACTGTCTGTCTGTCTGTTTTCGACATAGAACTTTGCACATATGTGCGGCAGTTCAAGTCGCCACACTCCATGTAGCACACAAAGCAAGAGAACAAAGTAGGAGAAATGCATATTAGAGACAGTAAACAGAGGTGGGAGACAAAGGAATAGTAATAACGGAGAACAAAAGTTTAATTGTAAATCATAAGTCACAAGGAGTGGATGCATCTGCGCCACTGAGAACGATTTTGAGCCATGTCACCAATTGTTTCCAACCATTAGTTTTTACCGTCCCGAGGACCCCAACCAGGAAGTCTACACCTTCCTACGTGACCGGCTTAGACTAACTGTTGTAGATTTCATCGACTGGTGCCATGTTTTGGTTTGACCGCCACTAGCTCTTTTCCAGCCTGACCCTATATCAGCTAACATTGCCCATTGTCGAGGAAGGCGATGACTAGGCATACGTAACACATGTCCTAACCATCTCAGTCGATGTAATTTCACAGTCTCGTCGACTGATTTCCCCTCCTTACCTAGCACTCGACGCCTAACCTCAATATTGCTCACCTTATTATACAACTTCACGCGGGAGATAGAACGCAGACACCTATGATCGAACACAGCTAATCTTTTCATGTCTTTCGCTCTCAATGGCCAGGTCTCACAGCCATAAAGGAGGACGGAGCGGACTGTTTAGCAGTACACACGTCCTTTGGTCGATAGTCGGATATCACGCCTACACCAGAGACGGCGTAAACTGGCATGTGCGAAACTAGCCCTCTGTAATAACATTTTCAAACAGTCACCGAATTCAACTTAGTGACTGTTTTATAAGATTATATATAATGTATATATGCCGTTTTGTTTTTCAAAAAATCTTTCAAGCTCCACCTGATGAACAGTTGAGGAATATCGCTAGGTCGGTATACGAAAAAACTCTAGCTCAATATCATGCCTGGGCTGTTAGAAAGGCTGTTAGTGTGGCTGTATACGCTCTGCCTACAAGGGAGCAATTAGTTCAGCACATTGTTCAATCTCAACCCCGTGAAAGTGGATTATTTACACGTGAACAATGCCAAGAATTTTTAAACACGCATACTTTACCTATTATGCGAACAGTATATAATTGTGTTCAAATTATCCTTGAAAAACACAATATGCTAAATTTACCATGATCTCTTTTATAAATTAAATGTATCTTATTTTATCTATTGATATATTTTCAAGACTGAAAATATCGGAATAAAACTGTCTGTCTTTAAAAACGAGAGAAAATCTTATTTTTAAAATCTCTCTCTCTACATATATATATATATCATCCTTTATTTTGTGTCGAATTTTGTTTTACATTCAGGACGTCGCGTAATTTAAAATTGAGCAAATACTAGTCTTTGAAAACATGCATAAAAAGCTTAAAACCATTGAGTGTGTGTGTGTGTATGTGTGTGTAGACAATTTACATTAATTACTTCTGTGATATCCATGCTAATATGTACACTTGGTAAGCATTCAGTTTGCTGGTATATAACCAGTTATTTTTTTATTGTTTACGTTAAACAATTTTTCAAATACAAATTCCGTTTTCTTTCCATAATTGTATTTGTATTTTTGTTCAACCAGTAGTCATTAAAATAAAGAAATTCTTAAACAAGAAGTTCTGCAAAGGTAAGTCTGTTCACAGTGACCTAACTCCCAAGTAAATCGGGTGAAAATTGATCTCAAGACAATGTATTAGCATTATTATTCCTTTGGGTTTTGAGTAGAGCTGGACATCACATCTCCAGTTCATGCTGTTCTCTGCACAGTCTTCATTATCTCACTCCACAAATGCCAGTAAACTTTGCTTTCACGCTTTTTACGTGCTCTCTTACTCTTTTCTCATTAGGGTTCACCTTGATGGCCTGATGCCACTTGCCACATGTCTTTTCAGCGTATATCAAATCCACTTACATTTCTTCCTGCATAGTTCTTTGCCAGAGTTCCTTGTTGGTTATCCTGTCTGACTGGGTTATCTGATCGTTATTATCGAGACAACGAAGGCGCCCTCAGCCTTTTGGAAATGCTTATTGTGACCCACGCGTCAAGTCATATAGAATCATACAGAAGCACTGACTTTACATTAGGAGTACTGTAACGATGGTAGAGGAATGTCTATTTGGAAATTGGTATCTCTATATGACCAAATTATGTACACGTTATCTTCAACGCACAATTTACACAGATCTTCGTGTTGTGGTACTTCTGGCCTTCATATTGTATTTCTTTGTGTTCCTTTCACGTCTCCCATGTATCTCCATAACGCTGTATCATTTGCCTTCTCTGACATCAAATGTATCTTCTTGCTATCTGATGGACGCCTCTTTATATACTACTGATAGATCTTAACAGTAGCATTCACCACAGTAGAAGGTCCAGATCTTGTTATTTATTCTGAGTGTAGTAGATTTGCACATTAATTTCACAGTCTAATAATAAAGTTTTGTCTTGCTTTTTCGCCCCAGCCCGGCTTTGACATCCTCATCTGTCCAGTTCAAGGTAACACATAGAAAGGTGAAAAATCAGTCTGTTCAAATACACATGGACGCAAAAGTAATTTTCAAAAAAAAATTATTATCAAAAAAAGTAGAAAATATGGGGATAATATTTAAGTTCTTGATATCTCAACATGGTCATAGAAAGTCAGTGATTGGATAATTTTTTCAATAAATAAATAAGACAGAGAAGGGAACACGGCTTTAAAGCATCCCATTTTTGTATGTATAATAACTCCGATTTCTTGATTTGTGTTGCACTGACTTATTTGGCATCTTTTCTATGTTCTCAATCATTGCAAGATACTGTAATACCAACGTAAACCATGTTTTAGCCAGAAAACACCAGGCATTAGTCTATGAAACCTATGAATGTTGATGTAAAGCAATGGTAGGTGGTATGATTTAGGTTCCCCCCGGGGCACTAATAGCCAATGGCTGTTGAGGAGGCTTAATGACGCACTGAGCCAAGCCAATAAGTGTCACAGATGTGTTTACACCTTACAAAATTCTGTTTAGTCTGCGTTCACTCTTGTCATCCTTGCAGGGATTTGACCGGTACAGGGTTGATCACGAGCTGACAGTAGTTAGACGGCCATTGGAAAACATGGGAGTGCTTGTGCAAGGGAGTCTTCGACGGTACGCACCTACTGGGGATCGAAACTAGGACCTTCCGGTTACAAGGCGAGGTCTTTGTCTACTTCAATCTCACTTGAATTCTTTTCATTTTCCCCCTTTTTAAGCTGTTGCAATATGTAGTATGCACATTATATATGTCCAAACCAAGTTCGATTTTAACAGTTTGAAAAATTTGGGCATTGGGTATATGATATTCATTGCGATAAAGATTTTTTGTATTTCCCAATGAATGAAAAACACAACGATATTCTCGCTTTTACTGACGTTTCGCTACTTAACGCTGCTGCTAACAGCTTTATGAAAGTAGTATTGTTAAACCAGAATTGACAAAATCTCGGTATATATATATATGTATAACAACTTAATCATCGTTCTTCAGCATCACGTCATTTCTTCGCTGTCGAATTGGCCATTTGGTAAAGATAAAACCAGGTGTGTAGTATGCACATTGACTTGCCTGTCGCCTACCTTTGTGTTTATGATTACTTCAAAAAAATATTCTACCCTTGTCTCTTAAGCGAAAAATAAGTGTTAAGTACCACTGCTAGTGTGAGCACTAGAAAAATTATATCGAAGTGTTAGTAGACAACACTGAAGCGTTCAATTTACGAGTTCATTTACTAGAATGGACCAACTATAATTTTGTGGCTTTTGCTTCGGACAAGATTTATGAGTAGTATATAGAGAGAGCCGTTTATCGGTACACACTAATATAAAATAGCAGGGAGATAGATTTGGCGTCAAAGAGAGAGAGAGCAAATGAACCAGCACTGCGGCAAAACATGGCAGACACGAAGCGAAGAAGACAAAGAAACACCATAGAAAGGAAGGGTAGGTATAGCACAACACGGAAGATCTGTGCAAATAAGGTGTAATTAATTTCTTCATGTGTGTATGTGAAATTTTGAAATAAACATTCCATTACCAAGTCTCTTGTTTTCTACCGTCACGATTTAACTGACTAGAAATCAACGCAGCTATAAATAATTTAACCCACTTATAACGTCATAAAAATGACTGTCTGCTGAACATTGTTGGACTTCGTCAGGAGAACTAATTTTAGCTATGAAATTTATAACCAGTCTGCTAAGTAATATATAGAAAACTTCTAATAATAGAGATTACGTCTTGTTTTTGTTACAATCTAGGGTACTAAGTATTTTGTGTTCAGAGAGAGACAAAAATAGTACTCCTGTAAATATGTTGTGTTAACTTACTATGTACACTAATTATAACAATTAGAACTGAAGACAGGAGTAAGACAAAGCTACCTACTATCACCCCAGTGGTAGACTGCATCATGCCGCAGATTGTTGGAGCCTGAAGACAGGCGAACGTTGGACCGATGAAGACACTGGAAGATGATTAATGTCTAGTATCACACAACTTCGAAGATCCACAGGTTAAAACCAACAGGTTGGAGGGAGAACAAGCAGAGACAAAACCAGAGTTTAAATAGGATATGAAGGCAGACAGGGGTGGCAAAGAAAACCTACCAACAACAAGCGCCAATCCCCATCAACATGCAGAATCTAAATTAAGTCAGTTGTGACACTCAGGCAGCTGCTGGAGATCATACCTTTCTTCTTATATGTGATTTTTCAGTTCCATATGCCTGTATACCCCGATGACAGTTGAATTCAGCACCCATTGTTTTGTGTACTACAGTGTCTATCCTCATGAATACTAAGTCAGAATAGCTTGATCTTGTTCAAATAGTATTCCCTGTTTTTGACATTATAGAACAGCATTGGTCAGTAACTTTTGGTATTAATTTACTTCTAGTGAGATCTTATTCTCAATGATATCAACAATACTCCCTAGTGGATGTGTAGACACATCCAGCCAAAATGTCTTGAATAAATCGAAATGGAGGTCTTTGATTTCACCTTATTTTTTTCATTCCCTTGCGTTCCAAATGGTACATCGGACTTCAGATTTTAGCCTTGAAGTTTCATTATCAGTGATGTTGTTTCTACGCGGTAGGGTCGCTAGCCTCACGCCCAACACTCTATGCTTATCGGGCTTACTATCAGTTAAGCAGGATCTACGAGGATTTCACTGTTGGTCACTCACGGCTAAATATGTAACTAAAATCTCATCCAAGAGAACATTGGGGCATAGGCAGAAGAAGCCTATAACCTAGATGCTGTCAATCATTCCATTAGTGCTATTAATTGATTTACTGATTTCGTTATAGGTGAAACACCTTGGCTGTCAATCAATTTATTTACCTAAGATCACATGTTGACTAGAATAAATTTCTCTGTTATATTTAACTAACCGTCAGCCACAAAACTCAAAAACCTTTCGCTATTCCTATGCTAATTATGTACTGTTAGGCACTTTTATTTGTTTGACGTAGACATTATTTTGTTTGGCATTTTGACGAGTTAAAGTTCCAGTCACGTTAAGCATTAAATTATTCCTATGTGTATAGCAAGAATTTTAAAAATGAATAGTAGTGACGAGCAGCTGTTCAGATTAAATTTCACAAGATAAATTATCTAGGCGAGTCAGTTGATACATACCATTCTTCAATCTTTGAAAATCCTGGACTTTATAATAGCCATTTTATTAAATAACACTGAAATATAAGAGAATAGTTTCCTTTAACACGATCAGTAAGCAGAAAAGAATTCAAATGACTTCTGAATTCATCATCCTTATGATTAACAACTAACAGTTATTCATATTTGATTTGTGTTTATTCCAAAACTGCTATTTAAGCCTTATCTCACATTGCCACCGTGTACAAGCGATTCTGTGGGTACAGCGATGACTGAACGCATAGAGTTTTGACACACTCTCAGTTTGCAGTGGCCAAGTTTTATAGACGCGGAACAGTATCCCGCTGTTAAAAGTGTTGTATATCTGATCCCATGTTAGTTAATGGTACCACAGTTAATGTAGGTCATGCTATGCCATTTGAAATTCCGTCTGGCAGTTAACTATACAAATACTTGCACTTTCAACTAATTCTAACAGTTCACTTGCAAGGGTGAGGAGTACAGGTACAAGCTGTTTCCAATATTCCGATAGTACTTTATACTTGGCAGAAGCCAGGCACATAAGGATAAATGCAGC